AGAGTTTCTGGCAAAGAAGACATGAGTTGTCCACTTTCAAGGGTTGCTATGGGGAAATAGGGTAGTAATCCCTACCTCACTGAGGACTAGAGTGCTGCATTTTTTACATGAGGGACACCCTGGCATAGTCAGGATGAAGGCGCTTGCGTGCACTCATTTGTGGTGGCCTGGCCTCGATAAAGCCATTGAGGCTCAAGTGCATGGGTGCCATGTGTGCCAACGGTCCTGGCCTGAAATACCTCAGGCCCCAGTTCATAGATGGGAGGAAACTCACACCCCATGGTCCAGAGTATATATAGATTACACTGGGCCCTTTCAGGGACAATTCTTCTTGGTTGTTGTTGATAGCCATTCTAAGTGGCTAGAGGTTGTTCCTGTGTCCTCCACTACTGCTACCAAGACTATCCAGGTGCTGAGAAGTATTTTTGAAACTCATGGCCTCCCAGATGTTCTCGTTTCAGACAATGGTCCTCAATTCACCTCTTCTGAGTTCCAGGTTTTCCTCCAGGCCAACATGATCCGCCATGCAACTTCTTCTCCTTTCCACCCATCCACCAACGGAATGGCTGAACGTATGGTGCGCACCACCAAGGATGCCCTTAAGAGACTGATTTACGGTGACTGGCATCACTGGTTAGCAAATTTTCTTCTTGCACATCACACTACACCTTGCACTGCCACTGGAAAGAGCCCTGCTGAACTTTGTTGGGGTCGCCGGCTCATTACTAAGCTGGACAGACTGCACCCTGACTGGGTGGTATCTCAAGGGTCGCATCCATGGCCACCAAGAAGTCTGCATGTGGGTGCTCCTGTTTGGACCAGAAGTTATGGGCCTGGTCACCCGTGGTTACTTGCTGTCATCTGCAATGTCTCTGGGCCTCTGTCCTATGAAGTGCCCCTGGAAGACGGCCGCATTCTTCGGCAGCACGTAGATCAGCTATGGGCGAGACTGGAGACTCACCCTTCCGCTCCTGGCTCTGCTTTGGGGGGGGGGGGAGAGGAAGGTTATAGAATACATTCTGAGGATCAATGTCAGCAGTTAGTGCTGGCAGCTGAGGAGATCGTTGATCCTCCATCCCGAGATTCCTCAAGTGCTCCAAACAAGAATTCATGGGGCAGAGAACTACCCTACACACCAAGATGCACTCCAGCCAGGGAGTCACCTCGGGGGCATCCACATATTCCATACAGAAACAGTAACACTCCAGACAGGGAGGATAACCGGGGGTATCCACAGAACACGCAAGAACTGGCAACCCAGCTAGGAAGCAGGTTCAATTCTGCAACTGCTTCCAAAAGGAGGTCCTATGTAAGGGGGGCAAGCAGAGAGGCCTCTCCTGACTCTGGCACCTCAGGCATGACCTTGGGGTCCACCGAATACTGGGGCCCCTTACACACACCTGTTTCACAGGGCATGTCCGAAAAAGGTTGCTGGCTCGAGGACATAGGTTCTCAGGAACCATCCAGAGTAGTTCTGGAATCCTCAGCCAACTCAGAAGGATGGGGGAGTGCAGCTGTTCTCACAGAGCCTGGGGGAAACTCTGGCATTTCTGCCGGTACGCCCTATCAGGAGTCACCTGCAAAACCTGTGCATAAAAGTCCTGGTCTAGCGAGCCCATCAGACGGGCCGGTAGGCCAGGCGCCCTTAAGGTCCAGTCCTGGTCTGTCCAGTCGAGCAGGGGAGCTGTCAGGCCAGGCACTCTCCCTCATCCTGCGAAGGTCCCAGAGGGTTAAGGCCCCTCCTAAACACCTAAACGAGCATGTAAGGTTCTTGTCAGCATAAGAACAGTACAAGTCTATGGTGAGGAGTTGGAACCTATGTGGGTAGCAATAGAACTCACGAAGCACACATTAGAGAGTGGCAAATAAGTTGTAGTGGAATGGAGTGTCTGTAGGATGGAAAAATATATATATTTTTAATAAATTATTTTATATTCTTGTATGGATTGTAAGAACAAGTACTGTGTGTATTCTAGCTAAGGAGGGAGGAGTGTTGTGTCCTGAGCCTGCAAATGCAGGCTGGGGACATTGCAAGGTTCCCGGGCAATTGCAAAAGCTGCCCGGGACCAGACTGAGTGGCTCCGGCTGAGTGCGCATGCGCAAGGCGCGAAAAGTGCCTAGTGATGTTGCCATCTTGTCCGGGGAATGGGGATGTATAAAAGGAGGCTCGTTGCTCGTTGTTGTTGGAGTTTGAAATAAGCACAATAAAGAGCTGTTCCAGAAACATGTGTATTCTTCATTCGCCATCGCTTCCAGGACTTAACACTTAGCTTAATCATGATAGGTATAATTGGGGACTTAATCATAGGCTTGGTCTGAAACTAGCTCTTTTATAGTTAAGCGGCAAATAATTACGTTTGCACAGGAGGGTGTAGGATAAACAGCAAAGACTTCTGTGATGTTATCATAGGTATCCACAGCAAGGAAATAAAAAATGGCAGCTGCAGCTCTGCAGACCAAGCCTCACATCTTGTGACATGCAAAAAAAGAGGTGGGGTTCTGATAGTACATACGTTGACGATCACTAGCACTTAGACTTATATACTGCTTTACAGTGCTTTACAGCTCTCTCTAAGCAGTTTACTGCATTTTCCCCTAACAATTTGGGTCCTCATTTTATCAACCTCGGAAGGATGGAAAGCTGAGAATTGAACTGCTGGCAGCTGGCAATCACCAGAAGTAGCCTGCAGTACTGCATTCTAAGCATTGTGCCACCACGGCTCTTGATACCATATTGAGCTACTTGACATTCCCTGTAGATCTGGCTACCTCTTTCAGTTCTGTTTTTCATCTCCTCCTCTCTGTAGGATGTATAAGAGTGCCTTATTTTGAAAGTAAAGAGGCTGAAGGGAGAAAGGATCAGGACCTTATGGATTAGTTAGCTTGTTTGTTTTAGAAATTCAGCAGTGACAATACCAACAGGTTAGTGCTGGCCAGCAAAAGATTGCTAGAGTATCTGGCCTTAGCTTCAGAAGAAGCTTTTTTGGGTGATTATTATATGTAGGACAACCCTCAGCTTAGTCCCTTAACAAGGTTAATACATACCTTAACATGTTGAGAAAAGAATCTCTCTGATAAATGGTTCAGCATAAGTTTCCAGTAGGCCCCAACTTTCAGTTTTGAATTTTATCTCATCTGTGGAGAACCAGCAACACCCATCTGGCAGAACCAGCTTCCTTTCTGGCTTAATCTTCTTTCAAGAACATGCTAGCCCTGTTTTTAACTACAGGCTTAGGCCTTCTCTCAAGAGAACGCTCAATCTGTGTTTATAGGGACCCTGTATAAGGCCTGGCAAACACTGCAAGCATTATCTGGGCTGATACTTCTCTGGAAGCCAGCCACCCAATCTCATCTGCAGGCCAAGGGAGAGCAGGGCCCAGTGATTAGAGAAGAGAGGTCATGCCTGCTGCAGCTTAAAATATGTAATTGCAGCTGGGCAGATGCCAAACCTTGACTGGCATCAACTACATCATCAATGAAGCAAGCTATAAGAGTCAGTTGCTGCAGAGAAGAGAGAAAATAAAACTGAAATGGTTAAAGAAATGTTAAGTGTGAGCTAATTATGAGAGGAAAAGATTCTTAGGATCTGGCAAAACAATTACTAGATCAACTTCAAGTTGTGGTTACAGGGCACATGAAGATCACCCCTTTTGCTTTTTCAGCCGAGAGGATGGATGAATTTTGTTCTAGGCTGGGCACTCCCTAGTTTCCTCAAATGTAGTGTTCTTTGGTAAACCTGTCATCCTATTTGCTAAGTGGAAGAATTATTCACACAGCTGGCATCTTCTAAGTCTAAGAGTTTCAGGTCTGTGGGGTTCACTGATGTTTGTGTGAACCAATAGATATAAACAGAAATTCAGCAAATTTCTTTAGAATAAATTTAGAGGAAAGCGAAGGAAAGCTTAATCCCCAAACATCCCACTGAGCCTTCTATCTAGTTGCCTCTGTGATTTGGATAAAGTTACTTTTGGTTTTGATAGTGAATATGGATAGCATTCCTATTTATTTCCAAATTATATTAAATGGCTGGGATTCTTATATTCCCTGGGTTAGAGTGCCACCTGCTGGCATGTACTGAACATTTCACAGCAGCAATGTTTGCCTACAGTAATTTTTCCCGTTTCTTGGGTACGTTATCAACTTAATAATCATTATGTATAATTTTTAAACTAAGAAAAGAGAAAAAAAAATAAAAAAGATTGGTGATATTTTTAAATATATGAATCCTTTTAAAACTGTTATTGTTGTTGTTGTTTTGGTGTGTGTGCTTGTGCCTTTGAGTTCAATTCCCAAAATTTTTCTATCTGTGCTTCATGTTGGGAGAACTTAGTTTAACTTCCAAGAAGTTAGGGCAGCAATTCCAGGACCTTACTTTGAATTCTTCCTGTTAAAATAAGTTGGTGCAGAAAATGGAGAGAACAAGCATAGCATTAGACTTCAATAGAATTTCCACTCCTAAACAAAATAATCACCCACTTTAGACACGCAGCAGCGTGGAAGTGTAGGTTTAATTATGAATGAAAGAGCCAAAATGCATGCCAGAACCATCAGACACTGATTATAAATCAGTGTCATGTAGCCTGTTGTGAACTGTATAAAAGTATAATGATCTGTTCAGTGTTCATAAATGGCCATTTGCGAAGTGCTGTGTAATTTGGAAAAGGAACCACCTAATTGCTATTGAAAGCATTAGAAACAATTTGAAAATATGCCCTAATGTACCGAGACATCAATTTGGTCTAAAGAGAAAGTAATTCAATTGCTGAAATCCTTGTAATCCTTTTCTTTCAATAAATCCTGATAAGAATTCATAAGAACTATAAGAATCTTGCTTTGAGTTAATTTTTGTCAGCCAAAAGCATGACAAAAGTAAGAATCCATAGCTTAGGAATACTTGCATGTGATATTTCAGTGAGTGGTAATAATTGAAGCACCAGAGGAATTTTGGGGAAAAAGTTATGCAACATTCTGAATAAAGATATTTATTTATCCTGGAACAGAACATTTTGTTAGATGACCTGAATGGATGGAAGATAAAATTACAGAAAAAGTGAGTGTGTCAGGTGGAGATCCAAGAATGAATACAAATGGCAACTGCTTGGGGAGAATCTGCTTGGAAAAGGTTTGTTTCAAATACAAGAGTTAAGCACAGGTTTCTAGAGATGAACAACTGAAAAAGGAATGCTTCATAAGATGTAATTTATTTGATTGCTTATTCTGAAAGAGTAAGAGATTTAGTGAAGGGATACAAGAGGGATAAAAAATTCTAAACGTGAGGATGACCATAATTTGATAATGTCAAAAATGGATCTCGGGAAAGCATGGACATGGGTAATATGTGAAAGAACCTAGATTGAAAGTGCTATAATCTCAGGAATAGAATAAAATGAGTATTCTGTAGCTCCCAACAAAATAAGGAAAATGAACTTTAAAAGGTGAAAGCTGCATGGAACAAAATGAAAATAATTATAGTTAGTAGTTTTTGGTTTTTTTTTTAACCACAATTGGGACTGGCAATTCAGTCATTAAGCATACTAGCGGCTAAGTAAAATAGTGACTGTGCCTATAATCTTACTTTAGCTTTCCTTTTCTTTACAGACCTGTGAAAATTGTAAATGCAAGGACTAGTTGAGAAGTTTCTTCTTCATCACTGTTGTAATTGTGAATGATCACTACATGAGGTGGTCATTAAACAAAGATTACTTTTACAGAGTGCCATATGTGTGTGCAGTTAGCTTATAGAAAGTATGGAAAAGGATGTTTACTGAAAGGAGTGAAATGAAAGAGTTTGTGGAGAAGAAACTTAAGATTAATCAAGAAAACATGAATATAATAAGCCATAGGTTAAGTTATATGAACTGTATGATCAGAAATCCTGCTTATTCTTTGTTTCACTGGAAATGGTTGTTAAATTTCTTAATTCATTTTACTTGAACTTTTCTGCAATAAGACTAATCTTTGTAATTATTTTTCTCTTGATTAACAACTATGAGTTAGTGACAGGATGTGCTATGGTATTGAAATTCCCACTATTTTTTATACTTCTTGTTGGTTGTTCCTAATATTTCATCATTTATAATTTGCTGGACTTTTGGGTGCTGAAACACTTTAAAAAATAAGAATTAAATTTGGAAGAGGATAGTCAGACCTGATAATTAGACAGAGGAAAATATCTGAGAGGAGAAATAGAAGTTTGAGGTGTACCCATCTAAACAACTCTTTCTTTCTGGCCATCACAATTATTGTATGAAAATGTTTTGATGTTATTTTTATTTCTACCATATGGATCGACAACTGTGTTCTGTTTCTGAATGGCTTTTCTGTGGGTCCTTGAGATCTGTCTCCAACCAGTTTTCCAAAACCAATGCTATAGTTTACCAGTGCCTCTACCCCTTAATGATTAGTATTATGTATTAAACCAAATGCATAAGGTCTGTTATAAAAACAGTTAACTGATTGTCCAGTTTGAATCCTTGACTGATTGTCTGTATATACTTTAAGCCTTTGTTTTAGGTGGGAAGGAATACTTTAAAATCATTGGCCACTGTTTAGCGGCAGTCTGTATAAATATGAGTCAAGCTAGAGCTGCTTCTGTGAGAACTAATAAAAGAGCTGTTATTTCAAACTGGTGTCTTCAGTGCCTCACTGTTCCCACTACACAACAGTGGCGATGAAGGTGGGATTATGCTGCTAGGAAGAAAAGAGCTAAGTCACTAAGGGGTAAGACTAGGCATCAGTGCCCTGGTTAGAACCGCGTTCCCCCCTTCTGCCTACCATATGCAAATGCTGGAGGTATCACCTTTCTAAGGGACCTGTCCCTGGGAATTTCACAGAAGCCCTAGCAGCATAAGGCATTGGAGACACAGTAACAGCCAGCCATGGCCAAAGTTGGCAAGCTTTCCGAGTTTGACATGACGCATCCCGAACGATGGAGTTCATACATCTCAAGGGTAGAAAACTACCTTAGACCGAACCAGGTCAGGGAAGATAATTTAAAAGCTGCAACCTTATTGTGCGTGTATGGCCAAGCCACCTTTGAGATAGTGGAGAACCTAGTCGCTCCTGCTGCCTTGGAGTCAGTTACCTTCACTGACTTGAAACGAAGACTCAAGGAGCACTTTGAACCAAGACTGTCCATCATTGCATGGAGACACGCATTCGAGCAGAGAGAACAGCAGCCGGGGGAGTCTACTGCTGAATTCGTGGCTGCCCTGCGACAGGTGTCCAGGGTCTGCAAATTTCCGGATTTAGAGGATCGGCTCAGGGATCGACTGGTATGTGGCCTGAGAAGCAGAGACTTACAGCAGAGGCTGTTTGCTAAAGAGACCCTGACATTCCAGGACGCACTGAAAGAAGTGATGGCAGAAGAGGCCACAGGTGGAGCCGTCAAGACTTTACGTCCCTCAAAGAATTTCCCCAGCCAGATGGCTGTGCATCACAAAGAGTCAGAGAGAACAGAAGACCCAGATGTAGACATTGAGATGGACTGGGTGAAGAAGATCCCAGAAAGAAGGCAGCGGCTGCTTGACAAGGCAGCTTTCTTCCCTAGCTGTCCTGGCTGCGGAGGACAACACCAGTGCTCAGAATGCCGGTTTTGTGCAGCTGTGTGCTGAGCATGTGGCAAACAAGGCCACATCGCTATTGTCTATAAAGGTTGCCAGAGGGAATCTCCACGTGAAGACTTGGAGAGGTAATGGGCCCCGGGGCAGAATAAAGTAGGATATTGCTCTGGAAGGAGGAGCATTTTCAGAACTGGAGCCCATCGCCCCCTGAAAGAAAAGCTTAGATTAAAAGTCAAGCTACAAGGAGTTCCATGCTCCATGGAACTGGACACTGGGTCAGCCATGTCTATAATGTCTTACAGGACTTTTAACTACATCTGCAGACACAGTGGGAAACGAGTCAGACTCAAGCTGTCAGATTTAATTTTGACAGATTTTCAAAATTCCTGTGTAGCGGTTAAAGGCAAAGCCACGTTAAAAGTAAAGTTCAAAGAGTTTGAGGGTCCCCTCAACATTGTGGTGGTGGAAAGCCAGCAAACAAGCCTGATTGGCCTAGATTGGTTTGATGCCCTGGGCATCCACGTGACTGGCATCAACAAAACCCAAACAGTGGATTTGGCAGCTGTCTGCCAGGAGTTTGCTGACGTATTCAGCCCTAGCTTAGGAAAATACAAAGGAGAATCAATTGCTCTCCACCTTGATCCAACCGTAGCCCCAATCAGAGTAAAGCCTCGTAGAGTGCCTTTTGCCCTTAAGTCCAAGATTGATGCAGAGTTAGACAAGCTTGTTCAACAGGGAGTCTTGCAACCTGTTGACAGCAGTGTGTGTCAACACCAGTCAAGCCTAATGGAGAGGTGCACATCTGTGCTGATTATAAGTGCACTATTAATAAGGCACTGCAGCAGCATGCGTATCCGGTACCTGTAGTTAGCCACATCCTGGCATCCTTATAACAAGGTCGCTTATTTGAAAAGCTGGACCTGGCACAGGCATATCAGCAACTGCCTGTGGATGATGCCTCTACTGAGGCTCAAACAATAGTTATCCATCGAGGGGCATTCAGGGTTCATCGCCTGCAGTTTGGAGTCAGTATAGCCCCAGGGCTTTTTCAGAGCATTATGGAATGCACATTAAAAAACATTCCAGGTGTGTGTCCTTGTTGTGACGATGTTCTAATTGCTGGAGAATCAGCAGAAATACTTGCAGAACATTTAAGGGCTGTTCTTCAGTGCTTCCGTGAAGCGGGGCTGAAGCTCAAAAGAGAAAAATGTCAAATAGGAGTGAACTCCACAGAATTCCTTGGTTTCCGGATCGATGCTGCTGGAATACACCCGGCTGATTCAAAGCTTAAGGCTATTTTGCCGGCTACCCGTCCTAAGTCAAAGGGGGAGCTGCAGGCATTTCTGGGGTTACTTAATTTTTACCATGCCTTTCTTCCTCACAAGGGTGCATTAGCAGAGCCTTTACACAGGCTCCTAGATAAAAGGGCACCGTGGCAGTGGACTACCGCCCACAAAAATAGTTTCAAAGCAGTCAAATTACTGCTATCTTCAGACTCTTATGCTGCAATACTGCCTATCAGTATTGCATGTGAGGCTTCATCATACAGGATAGGAGCAATTCTGAGCGATATAATGGCAAATGGGCAGCAAGCACTCATAGCTTATTACTCAAGGACACTTTCCCCTGCAGAAAGAAATTACACGCAAATAAATGAGACTTTCTCCATAGTTGCAGGAATAAATTCCACAATTTCATTTATGGTTGCCCATTTACAGTCTTTACAGACCACAAGCCCCTTCTAGGTCTGTTTACTGCAAACAAGAAAAACCCCTTAGATCCTTTCTCCAAGGATGCTGAGGTGATCAATCTTTATGGCAGCCTACAATTATAGGCTAGTCCATAAGCCTGGCAAGGAAATGGGTCATGCTGACGCACTTAGTAGGTTGTCCCTACCTAATTTAGAACCAGACCCTGCACCTGCTGCACGCATCCTATCAATTCAGGATTTGCCAGAATCTCCCCTTCATGCAAGGATGTGGCTGCTGAGACTGCCACTGACAAAACATTTCAGCCATGTTTTGAACTGGGTGCTGAGGGGGTGGCCAGGAACCAGTTCTGGAACAGAGTTTCATTAGAAGACAAGATGAGCTGTCTGCATACAAAGGATGCATTCTATGTGGGAGTAGGGTTATAGTCCCACATTAAGGGAAAGAGTCTTAGAATCTTTGCATGAGGGACACCCTGGAATAGTAAGGATGAAGGCACTCACAAGAAGCTACCTGTGGTGGCCAGGGTTGGATAAGGATATTGAGGCTCAAGTTAAAGGATGCCAGGTTTGCCAACAGACCAGACCTGAAATGCCTCAAGCTCCAGTACATCGCTGGGAAGCTACGCAAACTCCCTGGTCTAGGATTCACATAGACTATGCAGGACCCTTCCAAGGACAGTGTTCCTCATTGTAGTGGCAGTCACACAAAGTGGCTTGAGGTAGCACTGTCCCATCTATGACTACTGCCAGGACTATCCAGGAACTGCTCAGAATCTTTGCCACACATGGCTTACCTGATGTAATCGTATCAGATAATGGGGCACAATTTACTGCTGCTGAATTTCAATAATTTCTAAGGTCTAATATGATTAGATATATTACCTCTGCCTCATTTCACCTGGCCTCTAAAAATCAAGCGGAAAGGATGGTCAGGACGACCAAGGAAGCTCTGAAAAGAATAACAAAGGGCAATTGGCATCATAGATTGGCAAACCTTTTGCTCTGCCAACACACAACTCCATGCACTTCAATGGGTCGTAGCCCAGTGGAGCTGAGATGGGGACATCAGCTGACTATGAAACTGGACTATCTCCATCCAGACCGAGTTGCAACAGAGACAGTGCAGCCCAAGCCCCCAAGGAACTTGCAAGTCGGTGACTGAGTTTGGGCAAGGAATACGGTCATGGGACACTGTAGGTGGTAGCTATTTCAGGTGTCAGCACCACTGTCATACGAAGTGGTCCTGGAAGATGGGCACGTTTTGGGCCGCCACATCGATCAGCTGCGTCAGCGGCAGGCTAAGCTAATCCTGGCCGCTGACCAAGAGGAGAGCCAAGAGCTGCCTGACAGCTGTGGTGCATCTTGAGTCTCCAGGGTCCAGCAAGACTCAGAGAGAAATGCTGGATGACTCAACCGTGGTTGAGCTGATACTGACCGAAGAAACAGTGCCCTCAGATCAGAATTTGCTGGAGGACTTATTTCCCAGCCTTTCCGGATCTGCTCTGCTTGCAGACTTGTGTACTGGTTTACCTGGACAGACCAACCAAAAAGAGATTGGTCTACCTGGCCAGAGAAGTCAAAGAGAGACTGGTCTACCTGGCCTGAGCAGTCAGATAGACTCTGGTCTACCCATTGCTAGTGGGTAGTGGAGTCCTGGTCTATCCAGCCAGCCAAGGGTAGACTGGGAACCTCTGGCAGAAATACAGTGATCAGAACAATCATGAAAGCCGCCTGCCTACCTAAAAGACTATGTACATTTTATGGATATGTAATTGATCTAGGGGGAAGGGGTGTTATGTATTAAACCAAATGCATAAGGTCTGTTATAAAAACGGTTAACTGATTGTCCAGTTTGCATCCTTGAATGACTATCTGTATATACTTTAAGCCTTTGTTTTAGGCGGGAAGGAATACTTTAAAATCATTGGACACCGCCTAGTGGTGGTCCGTATAAATATGAGTCAAGCAGTTGCTAGAGCTGCTTCTGTGAGAACTAATAAAAGAGCTGTTATTTCAAACCTGTGTCTTCAATGCCTTGCTGTTCCCACTACACAACAGTTTCTACCAATTTATCTGTCTAAATGTTCAGCAACCTATTTGTCTCTTACATTAATTTCTTTAATGTACTTTAATCATGTCTCCCTAGCCGCTTCTCACTGTTCTAATAGCTTTCTTGCATCCATTTCTTCCAATATTTTCCACTAGTCTATTTTCTCCTAGTTGTTGTGGTACATGCCATTATTGGTGAAATGCCTTTGTAACCCAGATTTTTTTTCTAAAGAAAATCTGATTAGTATGGAATATTAGATTTGTCATTTGGAGTAAATCTGGAAACAGAATGTGAGTCCATAAATTATCCTAAAACAGGCTAAGAATTCTGTTGTAATTTTATAATTTTTACTCTTACCCACCCCATTTAATATACTTTTGTAATCTGATATCACCATCATCATCATCCTCACCATCACCACAAATCTTAGAGATTTTCCTAATAGCTGCACCATAGTGAATGTATTGAGTTTGTTACAGCATGGCAATGAAATAATTTCTGCTCGTTTGTTGCTCAAAGGTGCTTTTTTTTTTCTTCAAAAGGCAACTGGACAGTTTTTTCTTTGAGGAAGAAGAAAGCGTTTCACTTCTCATGCAAGAAGCTTCATTACTTCTGATGAAGTGTGGGGGGGATAGAAGGATAGGTACTGATAGGATGTGTGTGTGGGGGGGGAATGGAAGGTTTGTATTTCTTTGAAGTCATCTGGCTGTTAGCGCTCTCTCTCTGAGAGCTGTTGAGATCACTTGGATGTTTATCTGTGCCCTCAAGGTCACCTGAATCAGAGTGCAAATGGGTGTCGAACCTTCTTGGGAGTGCTGCAAGTGCTGCATTGTAAACTGAAGATAGGTGGTGTCTTATTCCTCCCCCTCTTTGTTTCCCCTGTGTTCTTTTGTCTATGGATGTCCTGAAATACCTTCCATCTGGATTACTGATGGCAGAAAGTGGAGGAAGGGATGCACCCTAGCAAGCCAACATACAGAAAACAGGATACATGTTTGTCATGGAAGTTTTTTTTTCTTTCTTCTCCCCCAGTAGTATGCTGTCAGCGGTTCATTAGTTTGAAGGGATGAGGGGGAAAGAGTGCTGAAAAGAGCTTATAAATAGACTGAATTTCCCTGTTTATTTCGTATCAAGTCAATATAATGGGTACAATTGCTTGCCTTTTATTAATCCATCTGAGCCTCATAAGAACCCTGATATGGATAAGAAGAAAAGAGGCTGTGGCTGCTCCCAGTGAAAATAAAAGATAGGAACAGTAGTTGGAAAACCCAAGAGTACTGCCAGCAGAAGACCACACTGTGCAGGCCCTTCCAAAATTCCGTAAACAAGAGAGGACAAAAGTCTTCATTTGGAAGCAGCCATCATCCCAAGAAATGATATTGCTGGATAAGGGTTTCAAAACAGGCCTTCCAGTTTTTTACAAATCAGTGTCTAATTTTTATATTGATTGTGTTGATTTTTATGTTGATTATGATCATGATTTATCACTGTTGCTTGTATGTACACTGAAACAAATTCTTTGT